TGAAGGGAGGGTTGGTTTTGGGGGAGGGTTTTTTTGGGGTTGTTTTAGTTGGTTAGTATATGTGGTTAGAGTTGTTTTTGTGGGGGGTAGTCTATATCTAGGGGAAGGGGGTATGTTGGGTGGGTGGGTGGAGTTGTTATTGGTAGGGGTTTGTTGTATTGTGAGTAGGGGTTAGGTGGGGTGGGATAGATTTATAGGGGGGTATTTTGGGGGTTGGTTGTAATGGGTGTGTATTGTTGATTTGTAGTGTGTTAGTGGATTTGGTGGGATGAGTGTTGGTGTGGTATTACATAAACAACAGGAGTGTGTGTGAGGGATCTTTTAACATATCTGTGTGGGGTGGTAATTATGGGTAAGTAGGGTTGTAAGGGGGTTTGGTATTTTGGTAGTTTGTGGGGTGGTTTTGGATTTGGGAAGGTAGGTTTAATTTTGGATGTGTGGGGATTGAAAAGGGGGTTAGTAGGGAGGGGTTGGTGTAGGTTTTTGGAATAGTTTTTGTGGGTGGGGTAGGTTTTTAAGTTTTTGTTGTGAGTTTATGTGGTTATTGTTGAGGGGAGAAGAATAGAATGAGAGATATATAGATCAAGCGTCAATCTTAAGAGAGTGAGAGCAGGTGTGAGGCGATACTTTGCGACACGAGAGTGAGTGAGAAATCTATAGCGTCAAACACAATAGACTCTGCGCAGAGTGATGAGTACAGACAACACAGTGTTTTCATAACATAAAAGGCCGCTCAATTTAACATAATGAGCGATAAGTTGGTGTGCGACAGGATTGAGCGAGTGAGAGAGATATAGTGGATGGGTTAAATGGGGATGGATGTGGTTGATGGTATACAGAATAGACAATAGAGTGAGAGAAAGAGAGAGAGAGAGTGAGATACGAAATTTACTTCTATATATATCTCTATCTATAAACATCTTGGTGGTGTGATTTTTATTTGATAGAATGGTATGGGGAGTTTAATGTAAGAGTTATTTTTGTGGTAATTGGTTAATATCATATGTTTAGTGGGTGTGAGAGAGGAAAATCTGATAGGTGTTTTGGAAATTTGTTTTCTTCGACAAGAGGAAGTGAGTGAGAGCGCAGTACGAATAGAGCGCGTGGTGGGGAGGTGGAGGAGAGTATCTTTGTGGTGGGGGGGGGGGGGGGGTTTGGGAATGTGTTTTAGGGATGTAGGGAGAAAGTTATTTTTGGTTTGTTATGATTTGTTGTGAGTGTGTTTTGGGTGTGAGTATTTGATTTGAGCGAGGGCGTAAGGAGGAGAGGGAGATTTAAGGGTGGGTAGATTTGGTAGAATGGTAGATATGTGGGGTAGGAGGATGGGGGGTGTGGGGAGTGAGTGATTGATATAGAGTTGTTGGGGGTTTAATTTTGTTGTTTGTGTATGGGAATAAAGCGTGGTATTATAGTGAGTTATTGGGTTGGGGGGTGGTGGGGGAAAGAATTGAGATATCTGAATGAGGATAGAGGTTGAGTGATGGTTTGGGTATGGGGGGCGTTTAATTTATAATATTCACAGGGTGTGCGGGGAGTTGGTGGGGGACGTATTGGTGATGGTTATATTGTATAGTGTGAGGGAACAATAATTTAGTGGGGGGCGTTTTATATGTGTGGTAAGTGTTGGGGGGGATGTGGTAATTGTTATTTATGGTATTCTGTGGTTGTTGAGTTTTTGGGGGGGAATTGAAGAGAATTCTGAATGTGTGTGTGGTTGAATGGAGAGTGAGTTTTTTGGTTTGTTTTTATTTTTATTTAATGTAGTTTGTATTTTTTTGAGTAGTTATATTAATGTCCTCTGAGGGAGCGATCTGAGAGAGATTCGCTGATATCCCTAAAAGGAGGACACATACTATAGGGGGGAGATGATACATGACCACGTTTATAGTTTAATATTAAAAATGTAGTTAAATTGATGTTATATATACTCTTTATGAGTACTAGAAACCAATTCGGTAAGGATTTTTGCTTAGTTGAGGAGATATGTTGTGTAATGCAATTTTAGATTCCCCATTTCTCTAATTACATCTTTATCAACGTCTGTTTTGCCTTGCAATTCTTAGAAGGCACAGATTAAAGCAAACATCTAAATTTGATTTCGACAATTAGAAATTTTCGTATTTCGAGTTTCATGATTTATGGTCAGTTTAGTTCTAAAAATTGGAGTAGGAAGGATGCATGATAGTTTCATAGTCCCATAAATAGATGACGCTACAAACCAAGAAATACTATTTTACAACTATTTTATTTTAGGTACTTTTATTTTTATTATAATAAAAAACACAATAACAATAATTACACAATAACAATATAAACTTTTATTAATTTAATACACACAATATTTTGCCTGTTTTGTGAATGTTGGAAAAGTGATATATCAAATAAATACGAAGTTTCATACGAATATTCGAATCTTTTGTTAATTTTTCGATTTCAAAATTTCAAGTATAACATGATATATCATAGAAATATGGAGTTTATATCGGTTAATATTCCATTTTAACTACACAATGGCTAGCATTTTACAAAAATACACACAAAAAAAGTTTTTTTTACACAACTTCATAATTGGAAATCGAGACCACAAAACAGATGTAAAATGTAATTCGCATCACAATCAATTGTAGTTTAATCTGATATAAAATAATATTTAACTTAAATGTTACAGAATTCTGTAATTTATAAGGTAAACAATAACAGTTATCAATATTATTGTAAAATGTAAATAATTAATAAAAGTAAAATGTTCGGTTAGTATGTCTACGGCGTCCTCTATGGACGAATAGTAAAAGTATAAGGTTGTGTGAAATAATAATCAATGCAATCTCTGAACAAAGAAAAACCTGCAAGCTGTATGGCAATACGGCAACAAATAAATAAAGTTATACATCCACAGATCACCTACCTCCTTATTAGTGGTCTGTATACATCAGTCATTAACAAAAAGTCATCAAATAAAGAAATATTTGTGAATATATTATTTAATTGATCTTAATTATTACATTTTTAACCATTTTTAGTCCAAAGTATATAAATATTTCATATTGATAATGTATTTATAATTATTACAGTTTGGATTAATTATGTAGAAGTTTCGATTTTAAATAAAAGAAAATAAAATATGTTTTCTTAAATAGAAAAAAAACTACGATTATGATGTGAAAATAAATATAATGCTAGTCATCTCTAGTCCAGTTTTTATTTTTTTTTTCCTATAGCTTCATTACAGAAAGCTCTTAGACATAAATGCTGAAACAACAGAAAATATTAAATCACATGTAGGAGACAGTGATAAATTCGATATGGGAGTACAATAATTGTACCAGGGCTAAGTACGAAGACCCGATTTGTAAAATAGGTGCAATGTGGGTTGCCTGACAATTGCAAGACATGTGCATAATTGCATGATCTATATTCATTAGTACTGGATTAAAATAAAAGCGAAATTCCAAGAAAAAAATCCTTTGGGTTTCTATTAACTATATGGTATATGTTAACGATGTATGTTAATGATATTGGTTGATGAAATAAGTTGACGAAAATTCGAATATCTTGGTAACGTACTCACAGAACCGCAAAACCTGCTGCTACAACTATTGTAACAATAGTAAATTTTATCACTTTTGTAACTAGTCATGTTGTATTTAATCTAGTAAAAGGACAAGACTGTCCTACAAGAATTACTGTGACACTACTTGATTATATAAAAACACTAAATCTACCATGTCATTTTTCTACAGAACTTCCAGTACTTACCGAACTTTTGATGACAGCTTCAACACAGGTAATTTTCAAATATGTTACATTCCTTCACACATAGAATTTGTCAAGGCTTTGAACACTAATTATAGAATAAATCCAGCAGAATCTTACATACACTCTGAGATCTACACAACACAGAATCGTAGAAACAGAAACTTTAGTTTTTTATCATTTTTTAGATGTAATCTCGATATAGAAATACCCGTACCATTTGATCCTCTAAGCACAACAGAGAAAGGGATATTCCCACTACTGTTAGGGAACGGTTGAACCATATTGACCTCCCCAAAAAGCTACTTTGACACATTCTCTAGCCAATTTGGGTTTTTGAAAGTCTTTTTAAATGACTAATTATAAACAATGTATCTTCTATGAATTTCTGAAAATTTTGTAGATGGAGCCGTTTTTGTATTCTTTTGTACTTGAAAAAACCTATATTGAGTTAATACCTACTAATAAAAGACATATTTAGTTAATTTAAACAAAGTATTTAATTATTTAAGCACATTTTGTACAGTAGCAAAATGATTCATTTTGATTGTACAAGACTCGCACACAATTTTTTTATATATAGGACAAATTTCACATGTTTTGTTTTTATTGTAGTTCTGTGTTTGGCATTACCTACGTTTATTACTTAATTGCTTTGTTGTACCCCTTGGATTTATATCCCATGATGTTGTCCTGCCCTTACTCATATAATCTTGTCGCAATTCTTCTGCTAACTGAAGTAGAAAATTTTTCCTAGATAACACTATTTAAAATCCTCCTCATCTAAAATATTAAGAAAAGCTGGGGCCAATTCCCAAACAATGATATTTTATAAAGAGTCCCATTAGACCATATTAATGCAGATAAAATTAAAACCCATATTTGTAATCCATCATGAGCTAAAGTAGGTGACCATTGCGAATTTTTTCAATAAAAAAATTTACGAAACTTCTAAACTTTAACTTCTTTGTTTTGTTGAAATTGTGGTTAATTCATATTACATAAGTAAATATTATTAATAATTTTGTGACCTTTAATAAAATCATTAGTACTAAACCTTCAAGTTTATTTAAATTGGCAACAGAGCGTCTCGAAATTTGGTAATTACTCCGAACTAGTTTATAGCGATTTCTTCATGTGCAGTTTTTACCAAATTGAAGATTTAGTACCTACTGCTATCAGATAATCGATCCGGTATCAGGTCAAGATTACCAGCGCTTGTTGCCGGCAGTCAATTGTAAACAGCGATGGGTGCTGTATCATGCGGACAGGTACTATCAGCGCTTATTATAGTCGCGTCGATAGCAATTTTTCTTGGAATACGAGCTTTTCTGGCACCACCTCCGGTGCCTGAATTGGGGGAAAAATGGTGGAAAGCCGCAAAACCGACTCAAATTGATACTAGTGTTAGACCTTTTAAAATAGAAATTTCGGAAGAAGTAAGTATATCAATATATATTTTTAATTTAATATGAAACAATCACTTTGGCGTTATTTGAATTCGTTATTATAGTTTATTTTTATGAACGAGAGAGTAATTAGCATAATTTTAACTGGTACTTCTGACCACTCCATGGGCGTGCTCAAGATTAATTGAAAAATTACTTTGAATAATTGTAAAAAATAAATGAATTATTTCAGTGTTATAAAGTGTTATGTGTATGTAAACAAAAGTGACCTCTTTTATCACTCACTATATTAGAACTGACTGGCCTACATTAAAAAGGGTTTTAAAAAATTCACATTTTTTTTAATTTTTAAAAATTACAAAAGAGAAAAAGAGTTTTTAAAACCGTCTAAGGTATAACCCGACAAGCGAGAGCTGGCGGGTTGCGTGTAGAACAAACTGACAAGTGGAAGAGATTGCTCATTTCTATTGCAGTCGGCTAGGAGTTCACATCGTGTATAACTGTTTAAGTACCTATACTATATACCTATAATCGCGATTAAGTACCTCTCCTATCTCTCTTAGAATAATTCCTTTTTTATTTTCGCGCAGCTCACCCGCCAGCTCTCGCCTGTCGGATATTATGTTAAATAGATGAATAAAAATATTAATATAAAACTTACAGCCACGTGTTACATATCCAAATCAGATTCAGAAGATGAACTTTCAGAACCAAGATTTAAAATAACTGGCTCGATCATTTTATCAGTAATATTGTCCAGCTTCCACATTTTTTCCTCTTCTTTAATAGTGTGATTTACTGCCTTTTCCCAGTTTTCAGGTTTTACATTATTTACGGCCTCCAAAAACAACTGTTTAACATCATGAATTTTAAAAGTGGTATTTTTTCTTGAAACTTCACTCTTTATCTGTGCCCATACCAGTTCAATCATCATCGAAATTTCATCAATTTCGTATTTTTTAAATTTTTCTTTATGAAGGGCACACAACGAATAAAGTTCCTTTCTTATAGATCCGGGATGGTACGTAATATTTTTTGAACTCAGCCAATTCTGCAAGTCTTTTTTTAACCACTTGGTTGTGGGCAGTCCTTCTATAAGTCTGGAGTGATAACTTGCATTATCCATTACTATTACACAGTTCTTAGGAAGAAGATCTATCATTTGTTCGAACCATTCTTGAAAGACATCAGCGTTTATGTCTTCATGGTAGTCACCGGTACGAGTTGATTCAAAAGTTAATAAACCACCTTCAACAAAACCGTCTAAACTGCCAATGTGTACTATTATCAGCCTGCGTCCCTTTCCTGATGGTGGGTTTAAACCAGTAGATAAGTTATTTACAAAAGCGTGCCTTTGACTTGTAACAGTTTCATCCTGCCAAAATTTATTTGGTGTATGACCCTCGTTGATCCGTGTTTCATCAAGATAAAATATTTTTCTTTTTTGGTTTCTCATTTCCTTTATGGTTCTTAGAAAATGTCTTCTCCATATGACAATATCGCTTCTTTCTAATAAAATAGACTTTCTGGGATTCTTTTTCCAGCGGAAGCCTATTTCTTTTAAAAGTTTCCATAACGTACTTCGACTCATTTCTGGGTAATCCTTATCATCTCGAACTGAGACAAGAACTTTATCCAATGTTGGAAATTCTTGTCTAAAGAAGAATTCATGCACTTTCCGTCGAAGTCCTTCTTTAAAATGATATTCTATTTGAAATTTTGGTTTCCCTGGAGCATTACGTGGCATTTAAAAACTACCACATTTCTCTTCTTTAATAACTCTGTAAATCGTAGATTTCCCAACACCAAGTGTACTGCTAACTAACTCAACGGTCTCATCAACACTTTCACATAAACGTTTGTCTGTAAATGATTTAAAACAATTAAATATTAATGTTTTTTCATTAACTGTTAAAGGACCAATTTTTCGGCGTTTACACGGCACTTCCAAATTTTCCATAACACTATTATACACAATAAACTGCACCTTGCAACTGAAGTACCTACTTTTAGTGAACTGTTAAGAATTTTGAATACGCCACTTGGACCTTCCTACAAAATGGAAAAACCCACTATCACATTTTCTGTGGAATAAGTTTAGAAGGTAATTATCTAGTCAATTACTGTCGTAGATTCCTGGAATTAAAGAATTAAATGTTTGATTGTTGAAACCCTTACTTTGTGGAATGCACTCATTTCAGATAAAATAAAACGTTTTATTTTATCTTAAGAATTAAACTTTATTTTGCAAATAGGTAGGTACTTATTAAACTTTTATTGGTTATATATAACCAATAAAATAAACATCTTACATTTCTTGCAAATTCATTAGTACCTGTTAACCTCCATCACTCCGACACTGGCAACCTTATTTAGGGATTAGTAACCCTCACAACTATTGTATTCTATTCTGCTCCAACCTTTATACCTGGTGGTCATACTCAATTTAAAATTGTTTTCCTATATACTTCTGTAAACTTGTTGAAAATATCTGTTTTTCATTGAGTCACCCGTATCAACAGTTAGGGATTTGCATACATAATTTATTGTTTTATTACTCTCTCATACATAAAAATACACTATAATACCTTTGGCAGAAAAGTGTCGAAATTATACCGCTTTTTCTATCGACGGAGTGGTGTACCACCGATTTAGGGTAGTACCATTTGGACTACAAAGTGTATGCGCTGCTTTGGTTTGCGCATTACACACAATCTTAAATAGGCATGGAGAATTTGTTGTACATTACATAGATGATTTATTAATTTTCTCACCGGATATATCAAGCCATCTACGACATTGGTATTGTATTTAGGATTCAAATTAGACACAAAAGGGATTAGTCTTGTAGAAGACAGAATCGAAGTCATAAACAACTACCCTAGGCCAACCAATTTAAAAACTTTGCGGGGATTTTTAGGAATGGTAAACTATTTTAAAAAGCTGATACCAGACCTCAGTACAAAAGAAATACCGCTAATAGCATTACTTAAGAAAAATGTCAGATGGAAATGGGGAACTGAACAAGAAATCGCTTTCAAAAATTTAAAAGGAGCGTTTTCCACAGCTGTAAGAGTGCACCACCCAAGATATGAGCAACCTTTCATTCTCAGGACCGATGCTTCCATAAAAAAATTTGCAGGGGTGTTATCACAGATACAAGACGATATAGAGGTGCCAATATGTTTTGTTTCCCGTGTAACCAAAACTTATGAGAGAAAATACAGCGTTACTGAATAATTAGAGTTTGCCAGTGTGTTATTTTGTGTAAATAAATTACGTTTTTACCTACTTGGGGCAAGATTCACCATTGAAACAGACCATGCAGCGTTGGTTTACATAATGAAAAATAGGTTGGTAAATAATAGAATTCATGGGCGCATTCTTTTACTTCAAGAATATGATTTTGAATTTAAATATATCAAAGGAACGGACAATATCTTGGCTGATGCATTGACGAGAGATGAACAATTCCGCTAAGAGGATCACAAAACTCTCCACGTAGGCATGAACATAATGAGAGAAGAAGCAGGCTTATTTTCTTTGGCTAAAATCAGGGAAAATCAGGAAGAATTGGATGAAAGAGAAAAGCAAAGGGCTGAACAAGAAAGTAACCTATATTTTAAGAGGGTCGATGGTAAAGAACTCTATGTAATCACGGAGCAAATGGCAAAAGAAGTTTTTTTAAAGTTACACTGTGACAACGGACATATTGGAAGTAGGAAGGTGTGGCTTATGTTCAGGGAGAACTACATTTGTCGACAGGACTATACAATAGCCAAAGAGGTGACTCGAAATTGTGTGACATGCCAAAAGTGTAAAAGTAGGAACTTTAAAAATGAAAACGTCACAAAAAACGTCGTAGCTCGGAAGAAACTGGATATTGTTGCTATTGATATGTTGAGCGATTTGATACCAACAACTCAAAGGAATAGACACATACTATAACTATTTAACTATAAGTTATTTATAACTATTTTTTATAGTTATGGTGGATGTTTTCTCAAAATATGTTAAATTGTACGCATGCAGAACCACAAAAGGAATTGAAATACTTAGGAAGATAGACGATTTTATAGAAACGGTGGGAAGACCAGACAATTTTATTGGACAATGCGACATATTTTAGGAACGAACGTTTTAAAAGGGAATTAAGAGAGAGGGGCATCGATACAATATTTATAAGCATAACTATAACTAAAATTTATAAGCAATAACTTTCTATTATCCTAATAATAATTGTTATAATTTCCGCTTAAAGAAAAACTAAAATAAAGCATTCAAAATTATACTATAGAAAATAAATTGTTAATGTTATATATCTTGTATTGGTGATAGGTTATAATCATAAACGCTGCGCTTTTATTATTATTTATAGATAATATTGTTTATATTGATATTAATGTCATTTTTATCTGTTATTTAAAATTAAATAAAAAATATCATTTTGTACTTTTATAATACAATTTGTTGACGAGGTATTTAAAAGATTTTCTTCTTTTTATAGAAAGTTTTATCAATAATAATTATAAATGCTCTTTGATTTGGCCTTGATGACGATCATTTAGTACAGGGCGATCAACTCTTGTGACAAAGTCCGTTATGTCTGTTATTATAGGACATAACAAAAAAAATTATTTAGAAAAATAGAAGGCAACTATAAGCTTTACATTTTAAAATTGGTTAAAATTACACAGGGTCCTCCATATCACTGTACCGCTTCAAAGATTTTTTAAGCAAAACTTATATAAATGCGTTGTATTACTTTCTCTATAGTAAAATGCTGAGGCAAGCGTCACGGAACTAGCGCCACAGATGGCGTCGTCACAGGTAGCGCCACAAAATAGCGGTCCTTCACATCGTTTTACTACTCTCGATCAATTCGTTTTTACTCATCATATATTTATTCTCAGCAGGTTTTAAATAAAAAAACTGCATGAAAAATAACTGACAAAATACAGGCATTAAATAAAAAATAAAAAATAAAAAAATAAATATAGATTGTTAAAATTTAAAAGTCATAAATGGCA